TGAGGTATACAAGGAACCATGGTCAAATTAGCAACATTTATTGAATATTGGCTGTGCAACAGGTACTTAGAGTCAGTTAAACCTTCACAGTAGCCTTGTAAAATGAACATATCCACAGTGGCTGATGAGAACACATACTGAAGCATAGAAACCCAGTGGCTATCTCAATATAATAGAGGTTTTCCACAAGTACTCTCTCTTCCCTCTTGTCTTAACTGGAATTGGCAATTTTCCTATTAGTGAGAGTCAGGATGATGCCTGGCCAAATGAAAGGGTGAACAGAAAGCATCTGGAAGTTTAAGGAGTCAGTATGAGCTTTAGTTCCTTTCTTAAAGTTATTGTTTGCTTTTTATAAGAAAAAAAATATTATGTAATTGTTTAACAGGCACAGTTACAGAAAAGAGAGAGGGAGAGACAAAGATAGATATCCTCCACCCACTAGTTCAATCTCCAAAAGGCCACAACAGCTAGGGCTGGGTCACAGAATCCTAGAGACTGGAGCCCCATTCGGTCTCATGTATGGATAGCAAGGGACCATGAAGCTGGACCATCTTTTGCTTTTGCGAGCACTTTAGCAAGGAGTTGGATCAGAATCAGAGCTGTCAGGACTCAAACCAGCTGTGTTAAAGGGATACCAGCATCACAAACAGTGGCTTTACCTGACATGGCACAGTATAGCCCCTGCTTTTCACTCTGCCACAGTAACCCCATGGTGGCTGCTGTACAGCTTAGCTTCTATGATTGTAGATGTTAAAGAAGAACCCTATTTCTCACCCCTGTACAATGTTCATGTTGTTCATGCAATATCTTAATGTTTGCAGTTTTAAGCCATTGGATTTGCAGGGTATATTAGTCACAGTTCTTTGAAGGAAGAGAGATTTACTATGGTAACTGGCTAACGTGATTATGGAGGTTGAGAAGTCCCACCATCTGCAAACTGGAGAAGCAGGAATTCTTGTAAATAGTTCAGCCTGAGGGCAGGTTGTGTGTTGCAGGGTTGAATCGGACACGCTTTAGGCTTAAAATAAGTCTGAGAGTCCCAAGGTCCAAGAACCATGAGCTCTGGTGGATAAAAGCGGAAGTTAAAAGCTGTCCAAGCACCAGATTCCCTCTGCCCTTTTGTTCTCTGAATCTTCTATGAAGTGAATGACACTCCCTGCCTTGGTGAGAGTGAATGTTCTTTCCTCAGTCTACTGATTGAAATGTTAATCTCTTCTAGAAACAACCTAACAAATTCATCCAGAAGTAATGTTTTACCAGCCCCATGGGCCTTCCTGGGCTTAGTCAAACTGACAAGAAAATTAACCATCCTGGGGGCTGTTTGTCCTTACAGAAAACTTGACTGACAGACCATGTCACCTAGCTGACTATGCCTTGACCTTCTTCCATTGTCCACGCCATTCTCTAAACTAACATGCCGCGCTGCTTTCAAATAATCGCTAAGTGTCTTCTACCTAATTTGTGAAACAGGAGAAAATGTCATAGTCTGAAGTGTTAAGGACTGTTATTCCACAGGGGGCAGAACTGAAAACTGATGGGTAACATGAGAAGTGAGAATCACTGAAGATTTACTCAGAAGAGAAAGAGTTCATATCTTGATGTGTTTCCTTGCAGGTATGTTTAATGCATTCTTAACGTATACCTTCTCATAGGAAGTCCACTCAAAGGAATACTTTTTATTTATGTATCTATTTATTTATTTTGTTTTATTTGAGAAAAAAGAGATGCCAAAAGACAGAAATATATCCTCTGTTTCATTCACCAAATATTCTCAAAGCTATGGCTAGGCCAGGCTGAAGCCAAAGAAACCAGAACTTTCAGTTCAAGCATCCCATATAGATGGCATGGATGCAAGTGCTTGGACCATCACCTGTTGCTTCCCAGAGTTCACATGAGTTCCTAGGAAACTGGAATCGGAAGCAAATGGGATGTAAACGCAGATGTCCTGATGTGAGATGCAGATATCTGAAGCATCATGTTAACCATGATACAAAGGCCCACCTGAAGGGAATGTTTCTTAGTAGAATTCCTGGCTCAAAATTATCCTCTCTGCTTTAGGGCCTCTCTATTTTAATCTTAGCTGATTTTTGTTTAGGTCTCAAAACAGCTTTACCATCTACTAGTTCATGTTCATATTGTCTATGCAGTATCTTAACTTTGTAGTTTTAAGCCAAGGAGTGTGCAGAGCATATTAGTCCAGTCTACTAGGGACCAATGTATTTTGCTTTGAATTCTCCCACCTTCCACCTTCCATATAACCTGAGACAAGGATTGGAGTGCAGTGACTCTGTTAAGTGGTTCCAAGCCACTAAAATGAGCTCAGACAGGCTGGGGCATGAAGGAGGAAAAGCCAGTGTATGGAAGAAGTTAACCAGTGGGCTCTTCAGGCAGCTAGAGCTAAATTTTCCTTCGGTTGCAAAGAAAGTTGAAGGGCACCTAATAATTGCCCACCTAAAGCATTTATCCTGTGGCTTTCATTCTCCATTCTTTCTCCCTTGGGGCTTTAACTGTCCCTCCTTGGTGGCAGCAGAGATGGCTGGGCTTGCTGCTGGACTGAACAAGCTGTTGCCACTTTGGATATGTGGATACAGTCCTGTTTGGGACAGACAATGAGATGATGCCTGGTGTGTATTTGAGATCTGGGTAATTGACCACTCATAGACACACGGACATTAGAGAGGTGTTGAGAGCTATGACTCAGAGCACCACGGATATCTGCTACCCCAAACCCTTGTCACCACTAAATAAGTTCTAATATCTTGTAATACTGAGGTCACCCAGTGAGGTGAGATGGGGTCATGACTGAAAGCACGGGATGTTCTGTGAGAACCTTGGGCAAGTGTCCCAGTCTTTAAAATGGGAGTAATACTATCAACTTTCCAAAGTTGTTGGGAGTACTAGGTGAACTAATCTTGTGAAAATGCCCTGCATAGGTTCCCACACACAGCAAGTACTCAGTAAATGTCGGCTCCCTGTCCTCTATATCTTGCAAATGCTCTGGGGCTGCACTGGATACTGAGGCAAATAAATGGTCTTGAGAATTCTTATGACTGTCCACTTAATGACCCTGAGATTTCACCGTAAGTGTCCTAGAACTTTAGCTGTGACAAATGACAAAAGCTCAACACTAACTTAAGAACTAAGGAGGGGCCAGTGTTGTGGCACAAGTGCATTAAGCTGTTGCCTACAATGAGCATCTGCAATGGACACTCACATGCCTCGACTGCTCTACCCCGGATCCAGCTTCCTGCTAATGTGCCTGGGAAAGCATCAGGATGTCCCAAGTGCTTGGACACTTGCCACTTATGTGGGAGACCCACAAAAAGCTACTAGTTGCTGGCTTCTGCCTACCCTAACAATTGCAGCTATTTGGGGAGCGAACCAGCAAGTGGAAAAAATCCCTCTTCTACCTTTTCCCCTCTTTTTTTCTCTCCCTTTTCCCCTCTCTGTCTACAACTCTGCCTTTCAAATAAATAAATAAATATTTCTGAAAAAAAAGAACAAATAAGTAAGTCTATTTACTCTTGTAACAAAAAGTTTCTGGCACAATTGGCTACAGGTATTTAAACGTTGTCATTAATGTATTCTCTTTGTGTCTCCCTCAACTGTACATCTCTTGCTGTTTCTCCTCATTGCTATGCTCCTCTGTATTTGGAAGAGATTGTGGGTGATGTTTAAATGTTTATTTATTTTTAATTTACTTGAAAGAGAGATCTAATATCCATTATTTACTTCCTGAATGCAGACAATAGCAAGGGCTGAGCCAGGCTGAAACCAGAAGCCTGGAATTTCATGAAACTCACATTGGGAGCAGGGAACAAGCATCTGGACCATGATTTGCTACCTCCAGGATGAATTAGCAGGACTCGGAATCAGAAGCAGGGATGCCCAGGACTAGAACTGGCCCTCTACCATGGGGTGCAGACATTGAATGTAGGGGCTTGGCCAATTGCAGCACAATGCCCATCCCAGGGACAGTAGCTCAGATGTGGCCCCAGAGAGCAAAGGCTTGCATCATCCATGCTTGATGACCTTATCATCCATGTATAAATTGTCAGGGAAGAACTTTGATTGGTGCTGCTTGGATCATGTGCTGGAAGGTGAGGCTCTTGAAATGACTGGAACCCAATGGAACCACATGGGCTGGAGCACTAGGAGGCCCGTTTGCCAGAAGAATGGACCTGCAGGAAAGGATTGCAGGCCAGGTGTTCTTCACTATAGCAAGACAAGAGGAGGGTATGAGTGAGATGGGACAGTAGAACAGTTGGTGAACAGAAGAGGTCATGGTAGGCATGCCATTCTTGCTACCTCTGGTGGCTAGGAGAAACCTTGGTTGGATCCTGTAGTTACACCACTTTGGAGTAGTGGGAGGGGAGGATCCATTTGCAGATTCTGCCAGCGCCAGTAGAAGCACATGCTTCCACCCAGGGGCTGAATTTGGCCCCTTGCTAAGCTTCCAAACAGAGCTGTTTTGGAACAATAGAATGGCTTAGCACATTCATCTGGTGTCAAACAAAGCCTGACTGTGTCACCCTCTCCCTATGTGCCCTCTAGGTCCTTAGGAAATAGGCAGTACTGCAGGGAAAGAGAATATCTTACCCAGGTGGTTGGCCCCAGGTGTTCTGGACTCCATAAATATTTGTTATGGATATGTTTCCCTATTATTAATAAAAATATGACTACAAAAGCATTTAGATAAAGACTTACAGAAAATAAAAATGTTCTGTTGAAGACATTTCCCTAGAGAGCTTTCCAGATCCCATTTAGATCCTTTTATTTTTTTTGAGTATTTAGAATGGGGTTGTCAGATACCCACTGCTTTACATACATGCTTTGATTAATGATTTATAATATCATGAAGAAAACACAAATCCTAAGCAGGTAGCTCATTGAATATTTACTTACCATTTTTAATAGTTGCAAAGTGTTCCATTGTTGGATTATTCTACAAAATCCTCAGTCAGGGTTTTACTGATGATTATTAGTCTAATTTACCTTCCAGTTCATTCTAACCCAGCAGACACTGAGCATGTGCTTGCAAGTTAAAGTCATCATATTATCTGTTATCAGGCATTTGTTGCCACAGCAATACTGCATAATGAATCACTCCAAAATTTAGTGGCTGAAAACCACTACCAATTATTTATCTGCTGTAAATTAAATTTTGACAACTCATTGTTTTTAAATTTTTGTTTACTTACTTTACTTGAAAGAAGTGAGAAAGAGCTCCCATCTGCTGACTTACTCCTCCGATGCAGTTACAGCTAGTGTTAGAGCTGAATCCGGGAGCCAGGGACCCAAGCACTGGAGCCATCACCTGCAGCCTCCCAAGATGTATGCTAGTAGGAAGCTGGTACTCTGAGATGAGAAGTGGGCATTGCAAGCTGCATCTTAACCGAGTGTTCACCCCCCAAGCCTTTGTTGTGGCTCTGGAGGTTACAGGTGAACAGTTGTACTGCTCGGGATCAGATCCATCAGATGTCTGCTAGACTACTTGTAAGGTAAAAGGAGAAAGGCATAAGAAATGGCCTTTTTTCCCCTTAAAAGAGAAGTATCTGGAGGAGTATCTGGCAAACAAACAAAACTCTTTAAGGAAAAATTATGCCAGACTTCTGTGTCGTGCACCAAAAGCATTCGGTGAAAAAACTCTGGAGGTTAAAGGGTGGGGGAGGTTAAAGGGTGGGGGAGTGATAGAAAAGAAAGAGTGGGAAGCACAGAGGAGGAGGAAGGCACAAGAGTACCGTGATCACTGGCCAAGAGTAACAATGGAAAACCACTCCTAAAACCAAGAAAAATGCCTGCGTTGGCAGCGAGGGGCTCTGGGTTCCAAGCGTGACTCTTCACGTGACAAGCTTCCAGACTCACACTGGCAGGTGGTGTGTCCAGGTCTCCCTCTGCTCACGGGCATCCTAGGAGTATAGAGATCCTCTCCAACCCTAGCATTCTCTCAATGGCATATGGCTTGCCTTTCAGCTTCCGGTGCTGAGTGAGGAACAACTTCAAAGAAAAACCTAGTGCTGCATCTGCAGAGAGAAATGGAAAAGAGCACCAGAAAACCTAGAGGCAAGGAATGAGAATGAAAGTGTAATGCAATTTCACGTGAATGGGAAATTGTTATTAGTAATCTTGATAAGTTATCCAGCCACTGTCAGTCTTCTTTGGAACAAGGTAACGCAGTTGTTTTGGGTTGTTTTTGCATCATCAGGGCTGTTAAATACCCAAGGCAAGGGTCTTTCATATTACTGGATGTGAAATGTTGTCCAAATTGAGGTTGGCCAGTGGCCATTTAGAAATTCAATAATTGTTCAACCCAGGAGGATTTCCAAATGGTGAAGCAGCTTCTAGGGAGGAAATTAATATTGAACAATGTATATAAAAGCACATAGGAATGTTGAGAAAATAGGGTCCCAAGAAAGTGGAACAGCTGGAGGCTAAAAAAGGTCAGGTTGAATGATACCCTCACTTTTTTCTCTTCCCTTAATTATGATGTGCAAGAGAAAATCTTGTTTATTTTTTATGCCAGGAGGGCAGGGGGTGGTTTGGAGAGGTTCCCAGTTCATCAAAAGCTACCTTCATTCTGCCCACAGAATGGTTTCCTTCATTTCTTTCCCACAGACAGGCAAGGAGAGCTGAGGACATACAAAGACCCTTTTCTGTTTGCCACAGGAGGCAGTTGGGGGTTAAGGTCCAATTTGTTGGTAGCGGTAGGAGGCATTGTTCACAAAAGCAGTGAGTCTGTGTTTATCAGATAGAAAGGACCACTGGGGTGAGCCTAGCCTCTTCTGTGTCTTCTGCTGTATTAATTGCCTTCAGAGTACAGCTTTCTAAACCATGGTACCCCATGGTACACTTAGCTTTCATCCCACAGCTAATTTTATGAGTCCAACCTGGGTGCTTTGAGTGAGACAGTCATAGGCTCTGGTTCACGTGGCAATTAACCCTCCTTGGATCCTAATTCAGTTGACCTCTTTTTTGGAGAATTTGCCTACACTAGTTAAAGTACTGAGACAGACCACCGGTGTATCACATTTAGCAAGAGCACTCAAAAAGAGGCAATTATTAAAGATTCGTACTCAAAAAAAAGAGAAAGATACAGAAAAGCTTAGCTTGCAGGGAGACCTTAGGAAGCAGTGAATTACTGTGGAGTGATAAAATCAGATTCTAAGAGGAGGTACAAAGAGCACAGTCACTTTTTAATAAAATTTATCTAAGCAATAGCATGGGAAAGAACACTCACTCTATACCTACAGGACAAAAGGTAGACAATTGTCCATTATGATCCATCCAGTTCAATTGTCATTGATTCCGCTTGGATCAGTGTCATAGGTCTTTCCAACTTTGCAACTCTGGCTTTACGATGCTATAGTTCTGTAAAATCAGATTGATATGATGTTGCTTTCAAAGGAAATTGCTGAATATTTCTAGTATCATTATTAAAGTTACGTGCTGGGTGGCCACCATGGCTCAACAGGCTTAATACATCACCTTCAAGTGCTAGCTAGCATCCCGTATGGGTGCCAGTTCATGACCTGGTTGCTCCACTTTGAATCCAGCTCCCTGCTTATGGCCTGGGAAAGCAAGAGAGGATGGCCCAAGTCCTTGGGACCTTGAAGCCACATGGGAGACTTGGAAGAAGCTTCTAGCTCCTGGTTTCGGATCAGCTCTGGTCATTGCAGCCTTTTAGCGAGTGAATAGCAGATTCCAGATTTGTCTCTGTCTCTCCTCCTCTCTGTATACCTGCCTTTCCAATAAAAATAAATAAATCTCTTTTTAAAAATTTACTTTCAGGGCCCAGCGCTATAGTGTAATAATTAATGTCCTCGCCTTGCACACCTGGGATCTTCCTCTCTGTCTCCCCTCCCCTTTCCATATCTGACTTTAAATTTTTTAAAAAAATTACTTTCAGGTAGTCCTTGAATTCTGACAGTTGTTATCCAGAAAGATTGCCAGGGGGCTATGCTCATCAGTAATTATGTAACATGATTCTTCACTTTATTCTTTTGCTACCTGTGCCTTTGGGTTTTTTTTTTTTTAATTTGTATTTTGATACTTTTTTTTTAAAGATTTGTTTTATTTTTATGTCAAAGTCAGATACACAGAGAGGAGGAGAGACAGAGAGGAAGATCTTCCATCTGATGATTTACTCCCCAAGCTGTCGCAAGCGGCTATGCCGATCCAAAGCCAGGAGCCAGGAGCTCTTCCAGGTCCCCCATGTGGGTGCAGGGTCCCAAGGTTTTGAGCTGTCCTTGACTGCTTTCCCAGGCCACAAGCAGAGAGCTGGATGGGAAGTGGAGCTGCCAGGATTAGAACCAGCGCCCATATGGGATCGCAGCACTTTCAAGGTGAGGACTTTAGCCACTAGGCCACTGTGCTGGCCAAAACTTTTTTTTTTTCCAAAAACAATTTATTTATTTTTACCAGAAAGGCAGGTTTACAGAGAGAAGGAGAGACAGAGAGCAAAATTGTCCAACTGCTGGCTTACTGATCAAGTGTCTGCTATGGCCTGAGTTGAGCCAATCTGAAACCAAGAGCCAGGAGCTTCCTTGGGTTTCCCATGTGGGAGCAGGCTTTGGGCTATACTCTGCTGCCTTCCCATGTCCAGTGCAGAGACTTGGATGGGGAGTGGAGCAGCCAGGACATGAACTGGCACCAAGTAGGATCCTCGCACATGTGAGGTGAGAATTTAGCCACTGAGCCATTGAGCCAGGCACTGTTTCTATGATGCTTTTGACGAGAAGCTGTAATGTACTAGTTTCCAACAGGGTTTTTTTTTTTTTAATTTTTCTCATGATCCATTGACAAAAGGTTAGTTTCCCTCTTGAAAGGCAGAATTGGAAATGATGGAAACTAATTTGAACAAGGAAAGTGAATGTTACCATGCTATTCCAAGCTACCTTGAAATATTCTTTTGTTTTTGCAAACTTTAGAAGATGGCATACCAGAGAAGAATGCAGTTTCTGGATTCATTGTGTTGTCTGAGAACTGTATGTTGGGAATAACAATAGGTAATATTCTTTGAGCATTTCCCTTGTGACAGACACTATACTATGTACATGTTATATATTTCTGTTGTACAGTTAACTATGTTAGAAGTCGGGGCCCTGCACGATGGCTTAGTGACTAAATCCTTACCTTGCATGCACCAGGATCCCTTCTGGGTGCCAGTTCATGTCACAGATGATAATACTTTCCTTCCAGCTCCATACTTATGGCCTGGGAAGGCAGCTGAGGTTGGCCCAAAGCCTTGGGACCCTGCAGCTGTGCAGGAGACCACGAAGAAGCTCCTGGTTCCTGGCTTCAGATCAGCTCAGCTCTGGCTGTTGCAGGCACTTGGGAAGTGAACCAGCAGATGGAAGATCTTTCCCTCTGTCTCATTCTCTCTGTAAATCTGACTTCTCAATAAAAAAATAAAAGAAATCCTTAAAATATTTTATTGGACTTGGCATGGTAGCCTAGTGGCTAAAGTTCTCACTTTGCATGTACCAGCATTCCATATGGGTACCAGTTTGTATCCCAGCTGCTCCACTTCCCTTCCAGCTCCTTCCTTGTGGTCTGGGAAAGCAGTTGAGGATGGCCCACGGCCTTGGGATTCTACACCTGTGTGGGAGACTCGGAACAAGCTCCTGGCTCCTGGCTTTGGATCGGCATGGCTCTGGCCATTGAGGCTGCTTGAGGAGTGAATCATCAGATGGAAGATCTTCCTCTCTGTCTCTCCTCTTTTCTACATATTTGACTTTCCAATAAAAATAAATAAATCTTTTTAAAAAATTCTGTTACAGAAAATGACACACTTCAAATGGCAGTAATAAAGCCATGGAAAGTCCTATAAGAAGCCATGAGTAGCAAGGGTCCAAGTACTTGGGCCACCTTCCATGGCTTTCCCAGGCACATTTGTAGGTAGCATAATCGGAAGCCTAGTAACTGGGACTCAAGCCAGTTACAATATGGGATACTTGCATTGCAGACAGCATCTTCAACTGCTATACTGTAAGTGCTGCCCAGATGTCTGACTCTTAATCAGCAAGCCACTTGTCCATCCTGATTCTTTCAAGTGAGCTTGAAGTCTCCCTTTTCCTTGCAGGTGAAATTCAGGACTGTTTAATTCAAATTTCTTTGATTTATTCCATGGGATCCTGAAGAGAATCCTCTGAAATGCCCAAAAGCCAACAGCCTTCTTACCAACTAGCTTTTCCAGCTATGCATTAGGACACAGAGAACCCTAAGGTCTGTAAAGTTCGGAATTAATGTTTTGGTCAGATTATACTGGGTGTAGAATCCGGGTAAGTCACATAAGCTTTCTGGACTGGTACTTCATCTGTGAAATGGAAATGATGAAACCCAAGCTTATTTGAAGGTCAAGAATTGACAAGTTGCTCTCTTTGTCCTTTTTCCCTCTCTTTTAGAATTTTTTGAATCTAAGATATTCGGGGGAATTATTGATCTTTCATTCCCCTTTTATAATAAGGCAAACACAGTTAATGGTCCCTGAAGACATTTTGCCCAGCAAGTTTGTTTTTCTCCTTTACTTGTTGTCTTTTGAGTTACAACTTCAGACATTTCTTTGGCCGTTGCATCAGATAGTTTTTTTCCATTACTAACTGTTAAAAAAATCATTAAATTTCCTTTGATCTTGAGCCTAGCGTTTGCAATCATGGTTGTTATCATCTAACTACATGCCTCATTTTCATACCAACTAGCTGACTCTTGGATTCCTGAACACATCTTGGTTTGTATCTACCCTCCTGAAACTGTAGTTCTGTGGCTCTGTATCAAATAATTCATCTACCTGATTCTGACAATAACTACCAGTTTCAAATTCAATTCAAATGTCCCATCCTCTTTGAACCTCCTGCTCAGTCATTTCCATTTAAAATAACCCTTTTTGTTTCTGTGTTCAACAGACATGTTTTGGACCTTTTGTATCCTATCCTATAATCTTTTTTAAATTACTATTTGTGGTTATATTGCCATTATTTTTTAAAAAAAGATTTGTTTACTTATATTGGAAAGGCAGATATACAGAGAGGAAAGAGAGAGAAGGATCTTCCATCTGCTGGTTCACACCCCATGTGACTGCAACAGCCAGAGCTGAGCTGATTCAAAGCCAGGAGCCAGGAGCCAGAAGCTTCTTCCTGGTCTCCCGCGCAGGTGCAGGGTGCCATTCTACACTGCTTTCCCAGGCCACAGGCAGAGAGCTGGAAGGGAAGTGGAGTAGCTGGAATACGAACTGGTGCCCATATGGGATGCTGGTACATGTAAGGCAAGGACTTTAGCTGCTACGCTACTGTGCCAGGCCCATCGTGTCATTTTTGTTAGTTCAGATGCACCTGAGGCAAAACCCAGGCTCTCCTGCTACCTCTTGATAGTTGCAGAGGAGTGTGAGGATTACTGTCATAGGCTTAAGTTAAACGACTGAATGTATAACCTGCCTACATGGTGTTTTAAGTATCTGAGCTTGGATACATAAACTTTATAGCATATACATCCCATACCTGTACCTACCACATAGAGATCCTGTGAGATTTAAATGAGAGAATCTGCTTAATGGGCTTATGAAGTACCTGATATAGTACAGTGTGAGTGCTCAGTAAATGCTAAGTAGTTATATATTTGCGATGAGATCTTTTCTGTGGTTACTTCAATAAATATTGATCAAGTTTCACATTAGTAACATTGGGCTGCCAGACAAAATATCCTGGATTGGGTAGCTGACAGATCTAGAGGGTCAGTTTGTGCACTGGCCAGCAGAGCCAGTAACGTGGACACTGCGAGGTCTGGGGATGAAGCACCGACAGACCAGTGATGGTGGAAGTCTCTCCGAAGCCTCCCTTTATTACTCCTTATATACTCTTTCCCCCAAGCCCTTTAACAGAACAATAGGATGCCAATGAGTCTGATTAGACCAGGTGCTTTTAGCCCCAAGCCCATTTCCTGTGGTGCTCAGCTTAAGGAGCGCTAATCAACTCCTTAGCCCACAACTAGTTTGCTTATTGGTAAGGGTCTCTTCATGGCTTGCAGAGGCCCCTTCGTGCTCTGTCCTTACGTGGTAGACATAGTTCTCTCATCCTCTTTTTGTAAAATCAATTTTCCCATATTGAGGCATTCACCACCATGGCCGCATCTATTTCTAGCTACCTCCCAAAGACTCGGCCTCTAATACCCACCACATTACAGGTTAGGGATTCAGACTTTGGATTTTGAGACGTCATTATTCAGTCCATATCAAGGTTACCATTTATTGAATCAATTTAGAGAAATAGCAATGAGCCAAACAGCTTAATCTCATCCTCATGGGAAGAGTAGGACGGTGTAGGTAGGCAGAATAATAACTCCCAAAGATTATGTGACTCATCTCCACCACATGTGAATATGTTACAATACATGGCAAAGGGGAATGAGGTTACAGGTGGAATTAAACTGGCTGGTAAGCTGACTTCAGCACAGGGAGATAATCCTGGACTATCTGGATAGGCTAAGTGTAATTCTAAGGGTCTATGGTATGGAAATGGAAACAGACTACAGGTAAGTGGTTTCTGCCTAGCCTTGTTTCTTGCCAATATGCCTACTTGTGCTTTTAAATAAAATTGAGGGATGGGTAGGTATTCTAGTACGGTGGGTTATGCTACAGTAAGGGAGGGTCACCTCTCAAAATGGGAGTGCCTGGTTCCAGTCCCAGCTATTCCACTTCTGATTCTAGCTCCTACTGTTGCATCCTGGGAAGTAGCAGTTGATGGCTCAAGTCCCATACATATGGAGACCCAAACAGAGTTCTGGGCTCCTGGTTGTAGCCTGGTCCAGCCCTGGAGGTCGTGGGTGTGTAAGGAGTGAACCAGCAGATGGAAGATCTCTGCTTCTCATTCTGTTTCTCTTGTTCCTACTTGGCCTTTCTAGTCTATAAAAATAGATAAATAGTGCTGGCATGTTGGCTTAATTGGCTAGTCCTCCACCTTCAAGTGCTGAGCTCTCATATCAGCTCTAGTTTGTCTCCCAAAGGCTCCACTTCCCATCCTGCTCCCTGCTTGTAGCCTCAGCAAGCAGTGGAGGATGGCTTAATGCCTTGGGATTCTGCACCCAAGTGGGAAAAGGCTCCTATCTCCTACCTTCAGATTGTCTCAGCTCTGGCATTGCAACCATTTGTCTATCTTTTTCTCTTTGTATATCTGCCTTTCCAAAATAAATAAATGCATCTTAAAAAAAAAAGGAAAAAAACATTTAGATAGAGCTAAAGGAGGAGACCTTTAGTTACTTTTTGAGCAAAGAACTAGAGGGTAGAAGTAATATCAGAGCATGAGGTATCTGAGAATTCAGGAACACTGCCCCTGGCAGAGGTAAAACAAGCATCAAAGCCAGGATATAGCAGCTTACTTGGCATTTCTGGAAGCTAAGGAACATATCACAGTCAGAGAAGCATCTATGAAGAGATGAGTTGTCAGAGAAGGGGTGAGCAACAAAGATGTTGATTTGCACTGGTTTTATTTTGAGTGAGGCAGAAAGCAAAGATTTTGAGTAGCAGAGTGATATATGACTTGCATTTTAACGAGAATGACTATGGCTGCTCTATGGAGATCAGGGAATGAGATGAAAGCTGAGGAATCAGGTGGGTGGCTACTGTGTTCATCCATTCTAAAGATGTGGGTGGCTTGTTCAGGGTGGTACCTGTGGAGCTGGTGGGAAGATGTCTACTTTTGGATATCTTTTGAAGGCAACAAGATTTGTGGACAGGCCAGGGGTAGAATAGAAAATTCAAAGCTGATTCCACAGTTTGCAGACTGAGCAACTGAAAGGTTGGAGTGGTCGTTCACTGATTACATGTGAGAGGGTTGGTTCAGTTTGAGTGAGTTCTTGTTGGTACTCAAACCCTCCCCTTCCTCCATTATTTCCCTTACGATGGCTCTTCCAATGATGAAAAGATATGTACACACAAGGAATAATAAACAGTGTGAAACTGTGTCATGTCCCATTCACCTGGATATTGTGTAACACCTCGGCAAGGCTCTGATAACAGATTGCAGAATGAGACACCGGAAGGCCAAGGAGGCCTCAGATCGAGAACACTAGGCCTCAGAGGTAGACATATCTTCCTCCAGCCACCTGGTTAACAAGCAGAAAAGCAGGACTAGAGTGTGGGTGACTACCACTGGTAAGTTATCATAGGAATACCAGATTTACCACTGGTTCCCAGGGGAAGAGCTGATAGCAAGGGATGGGCAGTGGGGTGTATATACAAGGCTGAAACCCAAGGGGAGAGGTGAGGACAGTTATCCCAGTAGAAATTAGTGGCCCCTTAGCCCTGCCAAAGGCCTCTGCATTTGCACCTGAAAGGGCTGAAGTTGGATCTCAATGCCTCACTTCTGTCCTCTCAACAGGAATGAAAAGGTCACGTAATAAAAATTCCAGGGCAGGCAGCACCCTCCTCCCAATTAGAGAGAAGGACTAATAAAGACAGGCTGGCATAATTAAGAGACACTTGCATCCATATTGTTCTAGATGATGAAGGGCTAATTACTATGCAGGCCAAGGGACAAAGGAAGCCTTGAATGCAGTGACAGGGTCTGAGTGTCTGCAGACTGGGTCTGTTTGGGAATGAGTTTGCAATGGGAATATTGCTTGTGGCTGTGGTTTTGTATCTGGCAGTGTCCCCCTCATGTCTGAATTTTATATTCATAATCACTAATATCTTTGCACTGCACAAATAACACAGAATTAAATAAAACTGTATTATCCTGGATGATATCCCTAGGTAATGGCTATTTAATACATGATTAAAAAAAGTTTTTTTTTTTTTTTTTTATTGGAAAGGCAGATTTACAGAGATAAGGAGAAACAGAAAGATCTTCCATCTGCTGGTTCATTTCCCAAGTGGCTGCAGTGGCCAGAGCTGAGCTGATTCAAAGCCAGGAGCTTCTTCTGGGCCTCCCACATGGGTGAAGGACCCAAGGCTTTGGGTCATTCTCTACTGCTTTCCTCAGCCAAAAGCAGGGAGGTGGATGTGAAGTGGAGCAGTGGGGACAGGAACTAGCACCCATATATGGGATCCTGGTGCATGCAAGGCGAGGATTTAGCCACTGAGTTATTACACCTGGCCATTAGTACATGATTCTTGGCAATTATCAGAAATGACCAGCTCTGATGGCCAGCAGATGTGTGGATTTTAGAGATTTTTTTTTTAGTAATTTACAGAAGCCTCTTTTGGGAGCCATATTTTTTCCATATATCCTAATTTAACAAGGCTTTCAATGTCTTTTTGAGGTGTGTGCTAAGATTTGTAAAGAGCAGCTTTTAAAAAGTATTTAATTATTATTATTCGTTTCAGAGAGAAAAAGACAGATTTATAATGCGTTTACTCACCAACACCCCTCCCCCCCCCCAACACACACCCCAACAATCAGGGTTGGGCCTTCCCTGGCCAGAAAGGTACTCAGGCTGTCCATGCTGAGTTCCAGGGATCTCTCACCACCTGCTGCTGCCAAGGGTACAAATGAGGAGGAGGCTGGAGTGGGGAATGGAGGCAGGATACTGGTCCCAATGGTGCAAACACAGGCCCTTGGAATGCAATTCTTAGTCAATATGCACAGGGAGTCAAGGAGCCAGAAGTCCCAGTTCTTTTTCTCAGGACAGCAGGAAACTGGAATTGAATGGCACCCGCTGTGAACTGAGAATACTTTAACATATTTATCTTATCTGTAAGGACCACGCTTCTCCTATCTACAGAGGCAAAGACTGAGGGCTACAGGTTGTACGTAGTAGCCCAAGATTAACGCTCAGCTTGAAAACCCAAATTTGTCCTATTACTCTCAGCTGATTCTGGTAAATCTG